CAGGATTTAGGGCTGTTGTACATAGGGTCACTATGAGTCGCAAGCGACTCGATGGCACATAACAACCACAACAACAACTGTGTGTGTGTGTGTGTATGTATATATATATATATCCCATGGTCCAGCAATTTTACTCCTAGGTATCTACCCAACAGAAATGAAGATAGATATTTGCACCCAAAAGTCATAGACTCATGTGCTTGTTGTAGAGCCTGGTAAGTCCCGGGACTGCTTATAATAGATCTCATCAAGGAAATTATTACATCACGCTTCATAAAGGGAATGACTACATCATAATTGTCAAATCAGAGAACCAGAGGCAGCCAAGTTTATACACAACTTTAACCATCACAATATGTAAATTATGGCTATTCATGCCATGAAATTCTATATGAATCAATGAAAATTAGCAAACTACAACTAAATGGAACAACATGGCTGATTTTTATGAATTTACTTTTCCACATAGGAGCCAAGCCCCTGTCCCTGAATTGTACACATGGTACAAATTCTGATTGTACAACAGAGAAGAAAAAAAAATGGCAAAATAAACCATAGCATAAGAAGTTAAGATAATGGTGCTCCTTAGAAAAGTGGAAGGTGGTAGTAATTACATCAAGTGATGTAGGAGTTCTTCTGGATACTAGTAGTGATCTACTTCTTGTACTTGGTCGTATTTACACAAGAGTTTGCTTTGTAATAATTCATTGAGTTCTATTTTTGTTTTGAGAACTTTTCTGTAGGTGTTAAAGTTCATTAAAATACCATAAAAAAAGAATTTTGTCCTTAGCTGCTAAGTTGGGAGGAAATGGTCTGAAGAGAATGTAAGTGGAGAGACTTTCTCAAAAGTAGTTTAGCATTCTGTATCAACAGAACTCTGCTTGCCCTTTGGTCCAGCACCTCCCTTTTTCCAGGAGTATCCTAATGATATAAAAGTTTGATAGCCATTAAAATTCTGTTATAGATATCCATTATTTATTGTAAGCAAAAAAAGGAGGTTTAGAGTAAGTATGTCTGTGTGCTTTACAATATACAAGACAACTATATAAAACGTGGTAGAGTATAACATAAGACAAGCATATTTTTAATATTAAAAAATTATATAGTCTGAAAAATTACATTCAGTATTAGGGGGTAAAGCATGTTACATAGGAAATGACAGATATATGATACATCAAACTTGAGAAATGAAAGCAATTGTTTAAAAATCTTTTGTGTTTTCAAGTCTTCTATAATAAACATAGTTTACTTTTTTGATCAGAAAAAGAATGGGGGGTGGGGGGGAATCACAGCCAAACTGTGATTCCTTAACAGCGAAGGTGAGAGAAAGATTTGTGGCATATGAAAGACTGTTAGACATGATAGGGTAAAAGTGACAAATAATGCCTTTCCTTATCAACAAATATAAACAAGCGATGTGAGCTCCTTTTTGTCCTTGTTAGGAAAAGTTTCTCTGAGCCAGTGGGCATTTTCTATGGAGAGCATTTTGGGACTGAACTTGCCTTGGAGATCCCTGAGCACTCACCTGGTAAACACAGACACAGATGGAAATATTGACTACTTGTCCAGCTTCCAGGATGTCCAAATTGAAAAACCTGTGGAAGAGGCAAGTGAAACAAAGCTGCTGCCAAACCTTGGCGGGGGAAAAACACCTTCTAGATAGCATAAAAGAGTTAACTTGGTCCTGCTAAAATTGGGAGAGCAATTAACTGATCAATTGGGGGAGTTGTCTTGGAAATGAATGAAAAGATTACACTGTGATCTTTTGGGGAAAAGTTGTGTTTTAAAGGTAGGCAGGAAGGAGTCTTGGTGGTAGATTGTGCAATGTTACCTGCCTTCTAACCTGGCACTTGGAAGCCACCAGGTGCTGTTTGGAAGAATGATGGGCAGGCTCCTGGAAAGATAACATCAGTGACCAATGGAAGGGCGTGATGAGTGGAACTGACTCAGTGGGGTGGGGTGGGTTTGGTTTTAAGGATAAGTAAGAGCACTGTTGATGCAGTGGTGCTAACTAAAAGAACAATTTGGTGGTCGGAGAAACATGGGCAATCGTCTCCTTTGTGATTTACTGCCTGTAAAAACCAGCTGGAGGGTCAGCCATGAGTCAATTCATACTCAACAGTAGGTAACAACCACTGGGGGAGAAAGACCAGGCAGATTACTTTCAGGAAGACTTCTAGCCATGGAAGCACAGTCCTATCCTACAGGACTTTATGAGTTAGAATTGACTCGATGGCAACAGATTTTTTTCTTCATCTAAGCCATGCCCTCTGAGAAATACAGACTATGAGGGGCTTTCGAACACAGAAAGCACAGTCTTCAGTTGGATTAAAGATGGTTGGCCTCCAAGGAAAGCTTGCCTTCTCTGATTTCTAGGTCATATAATTTGAATTGGTGATGGTATCTCCTGTTTCTTATGTTTGCTCTTTCTTCAGTTCTATATGTTTTAATACCTAGAAAAATCTTTATTTTTAGGTCCATTCTTCTCTCATTGAGACTCTCTACCGATACCGATCTGACCTGTACATTATATTTAACATCATTGACACTGATCGCTCAGGTAAATTTAATTTAATTTATAGATGTTAGTCTCTGAAACCAGAACTCTGTTCTCAACAGCTTTATCCTTCATGCAAAGCTGACTATACTGAGGGGAGAAATCAATTCCTATTATTATTATTATTATTATTTTATTTAGCTTGTCCATAAACTCTGTATTCAATGTCATAAACTTCAGCATAAGCCTGTGTATCTATTGGTCGATCTGGAATCACCTCTTTTACATATTACAAATAAAACGATAATTCTCTGTCCATTTAAATAACTATATCCCTGCTAAAGCAACCCATTCCTAGAGTTCTGATTCTTTTAGTGGGAGTGAGAGTGATGAGAACTGATTTTCTAATAGCTTTGATGCTCAGTTACGTCTTTTTTTTTTAAATAGCATTCAGTTTATTACAAATATTTAGTATTGGCTTCCCATATTTCCCCCTTTTGTTTTTATCATAATTGTTATCATCTAGATGAGCATCCTTTATACACAAACAAATAAAACAAATTAAACATAATAAACTCAAAGAAATACTTTTAAAAATCTCCATATGATCAGAAGGATTCATGCTGAATATTCCTTGAAAGTCTGTTTAAATTGTCCCATTGCCACAATGCTTGTCAAAACCAGTTCTGATTAATCTCCTTTGTCAGTGTGGCCTTTTCCATTCCCTGTCACTCCTCCCTGAGAGAGATTTCACCCTGATTCATAAGGAAAAGGGGACAGCGTATTCTCTTAGCTACTTCCTGCTGAAAAGGGACGCTGCAGGTTTCAGGGTGAAACTCTACTCTGAAGGGCCCCTTTGGCAATAGGAAACATGTAAACTATTGTGGAGATTGATTTTGGAATTTAGATGCACTGTTATCAGTTGTGTTTAGCCATACATGTTCGTATCCTTGAAGATGCATAATGGAACTGTTGCAGCCTAGAAGACACAAATTTAACTAACAAGTTAAAAGTACATGAGTCAAAAATTAAAAGCAATAATATTCCAAGTAGAGGTTCTAACAGTGGCACAAATCAAGTTACAGAGGGAAGGTAGTTCTTAAAATAAAAGGCTTGTTGACTAGCACTTTGTCTATTATAGTATAAAGGTTAGGAACCACAAGATGTAGAGGCTCAACTATGTCATTTCTTGTTCTTAAGTCCTGGACCAAATTCCATCTACCACTGGGTTGTTTTACAGCTTGGAAGTCCGCATACAAGGCAGAGGTGAAGTAAAGAACTGCTTATGAGGTTTTCTGTCAATTCCAACAACTAAGAAATAGTGAGAAGAGTTGGGACCTCAGAAGGCTTTTAGGACTAAATAATAGGCTCTTGTGTCCAGGAGAAAATGAATATACTTACCAGTAGCAGTTACTCATTTTCAAACAAAAAAAGAAAACCCCATCAGGTGAAGAGATCCTTTTTCAGCACTCAAACACACATGTTATGTGCATGCCTATAAAAAGACAGAGCCATTTTTTGTAGTCCTCTGACGGAGGCTGAGATGCCTTCTTTGTCTACTTTGATATTGTTCTCTTCTTTGTCCTCTTTCCTTTTTCCTTAAATTTCAGATCTTAAAAATTTCTGTACTACATATATTCCCTCAGTATACAATATCCTCCTTTTTCTTTACTATGTACTCATTATGATTTTCTAGTGTAATTTTAGGATCATTTGGTACTTGGAAGTGGCATATTATTTCTAGTGTTTATGGTTTTTATCCTTCCATTCCTTCAGTGTCTTCTTGGTCATACATGTTAGTGAGCTTCTAGTTGGGACTATGCACTCAGTATGGCTTCCCCACTCTCCCCTCTCCCTTAGGAAGGTCATAAAATGAACACTCACAGAGTTCTCCTATAATCTTTTAGGGTTGATCTCCGTGGATGAATTCCGTGCCATGTGGAAACTTTTCAAAACTCACTACAGTGTTCAGGTTGATGACTCTCAAGTTGACGACCTTGCTGACAAGATGGACTTGAACAAAGATGGAAGCATTGACTTTAATGAGTTTTTAAAGGCTTTCCATGTAGTGCATAAATTTGATACAATGCATAAATCAGACACCTACCTTGCTTCCCAAGAATGAGGGACTTCCTCATTCATACACAGAGCCCAAATACTCATTCTTTTTCCAGGACCTTGCAATCTACAGTCAGTAATAGAGAATACATCCTAACTTACTTCTCAAATGTGGGTATAGGATGTGCCTAGTGAATTGTTGTTGTTAAGCCTAGGTTAAATGGCATCTGCTTAGATTTGGCCCTAGTGTTAATAAAAACCAAGCATTGCCAAGCAGGAAGTTTTTGGGGGCCTTATATTGGTTATCTTGTATGTCACCTAACCAAGAGAACAGAGAAATTTGGAAACATACTAAAAAACAGAAAACCCACAATAGATCAGTAAAACTATCAAGTACACCATCTGTGAGTGGCTGAGGGTTAGGAGAAGTTAATACCAAACTGTTAAACAAATAAAAGAATCCCATATTCCATTTGGCGTTTTCTTTGGAATCAGTGATTCTCAATCATGGAGGAACCCTTCAGGGATAGAGGCTACCTCCAATTTGTGAGGGAATCCTTGGAGTATGTCAATTGAAAATGATATTTCTTTAGCTCTTTGGAGTGTGAAGTGAAAACATTCAGGTTGAACCTTACAACTAATAGGAGTTGACACCTTCATTGTTAAGATGGGCTTTGGTTATGCATGCATTATGCAATTTATTCTGCTATTCTTTTTTTAAACTTTTTAAATGTTTGATTTGCATACAAATTCATATACATGTGTTTCTTTCCTGTTTCACACATCCCTTCATTCACATCGTGTTTCATAAGATCATTCCCATACACTGTGTTTTATGAAATTAATCACTGTGGATCTATGCCCACTGTCATTCTGTCTTTGCAGGTCGCCACATAATCTATTCTAATTCCTTCAGACCCACCCCCCACCCCGCCCACCAAACTCTGCATCCCTATGATTTCCCTCCCTTCTTCCCTTAAGCCCCTCTTGTTGCATAGCAAACATAACAAATTTCTGTTTAAGGACAAGTATTATGTTTTATCCTGGAAGCAGGAGCGGCATCCACTTCAGAAATGGCTTGCCTCCAGAAACTCTATGTATGAACAGTGCTCAGGCCTTTCATTCATAGGGTCACTATGAGTCGTCTACGACTCGATGGCACGTAACAACAACAACAATTGTGTTTTATATTTCAGTTTGATAACTTCAAGATCTATCAGTATGTTATACTAAATATCCACTTCTTCTGCCTGCTGTAAACACCAGAAATAATAGGTAAAATATAGTAAATACATATTTTTAAATGTATAGCTGAACTTACAAGAAAGCAAAAGAAACTGCCAGAAGACAGGATAGGAAGAGCATATTCAACTATATTAATGTCAGCACAGGCTTTAAGAGAAAGACTATCATTAGCGATATAAAGGGTCATGCTAAACAATTCATAAGCAGACACAGCAACCTGTATTCATTTAATAACAGGTTTAAAATTTATAATGCAAAAAATGATGTAACTGCCAGGAAAAAGGATATACAGAGGTTTTTAGTATACCTCTATCAGTAAATGAAAAATCAGTATATAGAAGATTGGATAGCCCAATTAATTTATCCATACGATGAAACACGCACACACTCACACTCACACTCACACTCAATTTTAGAGAAAATACATTCTCTCCAAGTACACATGGAACAATTATTAAAGTTAATCATATACTAGACCATAAAATATATCTCTAATACAAAGCAATCAATATCAGAGACTACATTCTCTGATTATAATACAATTAAATTAGAAACTAATTTAAAAAGATAACTGTATTAATGAATTCATGAAAAGTGGATGCAACTGTAGATATATCAGGACATCTTTCCTTTGTTTTTTAGGATCACAAGAATACTCTGACTTACTTTATGCCAGTAAATTTGATAAATTATATGAATGGTCTGTCTCCTAGGCAAAATTTTCATTTACTGAAGAGTATTGAGAATACCTTGGACTGCTAGGAAAACAAACAGATTTGTCCTGGAAAGGGTTAAACCGGGTGGCTCCTTGGAGGCAAGGATTCTGAGGCTCCGTCTAACATACTTTGGACATGTTGTGAGGAGAGACCGGTCCTTAGAGAGGGACATCATGCTTGGGAGGGTGGAGGGACAGCGCAGGAGAGGAAGGCCCTCGATGAGGTGGATTGATTCAGTGACTGGCATAATTGGGATGGGAGTGTCGGAGACAGTGCGATTGGCAGAGCAGAGCGGAGTTTAGGGCTGTTGTACATAGGGTCGCTATGAGTCGCAGGCGACTCGACGGCACATAACAACAACAACAACAACAACAAAGTTAATTTAAAAACAAATAGTATCTCTAAACAAACTTAACTACTAAAGAATGCCACGGCTTCATCATACATCAGCTCGGCTAGGCTGACCTACTTTTCTCAGAATTCACTTTCTCCTATGTTTCTGGTTAGGCTGGGCCACCAGGTACATCTGGAATATGAAAAGGAAGCAGTGGCTATTTTGTTGGTAGCACACTGTTGCTGATCTGTGATTCAACTTGTTGGTATGAAAGAACTGCTCTGTCAGCTTCTGTAATTTCTGGGTGTCTGTGTATGTTTGTGACAAAGGGTCCTGACTTTAGCAGGATATCCTTGTCATCAAGGTCAGAAACAGCAAGAACATCTGTGGGCTTCTGGCAGTCCTGTTGGGGTTCTAGTTTGTGCTTGTGGGCTTCAGTCAGCTTGGGATCTTCTCTTCATGACCACCTGCCCAGTGGACTTAGAGCTTCAGCATATGGAGACAATAGCCTGTAAGATTGCTTAACTAGCTCCCATATTTGCATAAGACGCCTTTCCTGTAGCAAATTACAGCTATATCTTCCCACTAGAATTTCTTCTCTGGTTGAATATGATGTTGTTATGTGCTGTCAAGTCACCTACACCTCATAGCAACCCTGTGTATAACTCTGAAGCTTACCCTGTCCTGAGCCATTCTCACTGACTTTGACACACCTACCCCCATTGTCCCAGTTACTGAATCAATCCATCTCATCCAGGGTCTTCTTCTCCTGTTCTGTTCTTCCACTCTTCTAAGCATACTGTCCTTCTCCAAGGATTGGTCCCTCCTGGCCACATGCCCAAAGTATGTGAGACAGAACTTCAAAATCCTAGCCTCCAAGGAGAAACTTGGTTTCACCCTCTCAGACCTATTTGTTTTATTGGTGGTCCATGGTATATTCAAGATTCTTCTTTAGCACCACAACTCAAAGGCATAGATTCTCCTTCTGTCATCCTTAGTCATTGTCCAGCTCTCTGATGCATAGCAAGTAATTGCAAAGACCATGAACTGGATCAGGTGCACCTTAGTCTCTAGTCTAACATCATTGTTTCTCAGCACTCTGGAAAGGTCCCTGACAGCAGATTTTCCCAGTGCAATTCGCCTTTTGATTTCCTGACTGCTTATGCCAACAGTGTTGATTGTAGAGTCAAGCAAGCTGTAACTGTTAACAACCTTAATCTCTTTTCCATACATCATGCCAATGGCCCTGTGGTTAGAATCTTTGTCTTTTTAATATTGAGCTTCAATACATATTGAAGGCTACAGCAAGAACTTCAGGTCCTCAATTTCAGCAGGCAGGGTTGTGTCATCTGCAACGTAGGTTGTTGATGATTCTTCCTGCAATCCTGATGCTATATTCTTCTTTATAAAGCTCTGCTTCCCGAATGATCTGTTCTGTTATAGATTGAAAAGGTTTGAAGTCAGGACACATCCCTGATGCACTCCCTTCCTGATTTTGAACCATGCAGTGTTTCCCTCCTCCGTTCTGAGGACTGCTTCCTGGTCCAAGTTTAAGCGCAATCAAGTGTTCTGAGATTCCTATTCTCCTCAAGGTTAGCCACAATTTGTTATGATGCACACAGTCATATACCTTTGCATAGTCAGTGAAACACAGATAGACATTCCTCTGGTATTCTCTGCTTTCTTCCAAGATCCATCTGATATTGGTGATAATGTCTCTAATGCCATGACCTCTTCTAAACCCTGCTTATATTTCTGATAGTTTTCTGACAATGTACTATTCCAGTTGTTTCTGGATATTCTTCAGCAGGATTTTGCTAACATGAGGTATGAGTAATACTGTATTATAATTTCTACACTTTGTCTGGTCACATTTTTTTGGAATGGGAATAAATATGGATCTCTTCCAGTCAGTTGGACAGGTAGCTGTCCTCCAGATTTCTTGACACAACCTGGTGAGCACTTAGCTGATAAAAAAATTTGGCACTGAACTTGGTTCCAAGAGAATAGAATCGAAGGATGAATGCCACTAGTTTTCTGAAATTGTTTCTTTTAATTTGATTAAGTTTTAAGGTATTAATGACTCTGTTCTTAATGATAAAGAAGGCATGACGTACCAGGACAATCACTGCAGTCACCACCTTTAGATACCTGTAATCAGGGTCTGAGTGACCAAGCATTTTAGTCAAAATAAGAAGTATAATCGGTTTGGCTGGATGCTGGAGAACATGGGGAAAGAAAATTATTAGCTCAGAGCCTTAAATTCCCAGCTCAAGGTATGCATAAATGATTTGAAAACGTCTATGACTACCCTGAAGACACCTTAATCCTCTGGATGCACAAGGTTGAGATTTCTGAAAGCAAAAATCCTACGACATCTATTCTTGCAAATGGACTCCCTAAGTGCTGCAGTTAAGCGCTGGACTACTGGATGAAAGGCTGGTGGTTCGAACCTACCCAGAGGTTCCCAGAAAGACAAGCCTCACAATCTTCATCTGTAAGTTACAGCTTTGAAAACCTCTTGGCGCAGTCCTATCGTGCTCAAATGAGGTCACCATGAGTCTAAATTGCCACTAATAACAATAACAACATTCCTACAAACAGTTGAATACAATGCAGTTGACTTTCCAGCCTCCCACAGTTTCTTTTCATGAAGGTGGGGTACTGGCTGGGGAAGAAAAGGGGTCTTGAAAATTAGTGTAAGGGCATATGAATGGATTGGGATAAAGCTGGCGACTTCAGTCATCTTTACAGGAGAAGCACCTCTCCTGC